GCACTTGGTCCTGCCGCTTTCCCAGAAAAGGTATGAGAGCTTCCCCTATAATGCTGTCCTCTCAGTGCTTCCTTATTTTCTCTGCATGCGCTTGTATTACACTATATTCACTGCAGGTTACATGCTTCAGACTGTGAGCTGGAGTCTAAGCCTCTTTAAAGACAAACCAAGTTTCCTGAGGCTAGAGATTAAATTCCAAATTCTCTATCCCCGTAGTCACAGAGACTCACGTGGAAGGAGGCTGCGGCTTAACCCACAGGTCTCATCCCAGTACCATCTCCTGCTGGGGACTGCTCTCCTTGCAGACCATGTCTGCAAAAGCCCAGAGTTGTTTCAGACTATGTGTGGATTCACTGTAATAAACTTTTGTAATGTGATCATATCTGATTGCTGCTATTGGGTTGCCTGGTTGCCTACCTCACTCCATGCATCACTTGGAAGAAGGATTTGGCAAACTGGTGGAGGGGGGTTGGGTACCTGAAACTGTCAGTACCAAAGTTTTGTGACATGTACAGAATGAGGGATGGGCCTGCTGGAAACAAAGACTGCTCCTATGGCTTGGTAGATAGGACATGGAGGACCTGGATTCCTGGATTGTTGCATTGCTTCTGCCGTTGGCTTCCTGGTCATGACAGATAAATCTCTTTTGCAAGTTCAGTGAAAGATAGTAATAACTTCCTGGCCCTCCACAACTGCTGTGAAAAAGTATTTCCTGAAACAATAATGAGGAGCACCATGGGATGAGAGTCTGAGATGAAAAGAACCTGTTATGGTTGTTAGGGTGCAACAAATAAAACCTCAGGCAGCTGAGGAGGGATGAGTTTCAACAGCAATACTGAAACTGCCTAGAAGTCAGCTTGAGTCAGAAAAAAAAGTTTCCTAGCAAGATGTGAAGGAGGATTAAAAAAAGCTGTATTTTTTCCATTAAAAAATAATTGTTGAAATGTGTTTTAGAATAGCTTTACAGCTGATAAGACAGGGAGCAGAAATTTGAGAGTTGCCATAAGGGATAACTCTTCCTTCAGGAGAACTCCTTTTAAAAGCTTCAGAGAAAACAGGATAAAATTTAACTCATGGGATTCTCTGGAGAAAACTGATTTTGCATAAGGGGGTTCGGATTTTCTTGGTTTGTTTTCCCATGGGCCACTTTGAGGGCTGTATCCAGAGCTCATTGCAGATGAGGTAACTGAACAGACACGTAGGAGCACGACGGTGGGCTCCACGCACTGCAGCTTCCTTAACAGTTTTCTCCTGATTTCTGTCTACAGGAAAAGTGATGTTTTTGTTCAATTTCTCCTCCTCTGGCTTCCCAAGTCAGTGGGTCACTTCCAGGGATTTGCTGATGGAGATGTCATGAATGGCACTGTATGCTATGAAACCAGTGTTTCATGGGAATGTCTTGGATATGGGTACAGGATGTGACTTTGTAGTGTGTTAGCTGCTTTTGGGTTACTGCTTATGTCCATACTCAACAGTAAAACAGTAAATTTTGGGAGCCTTCAGGTTGGCGTCCTTGGGAAGGTGAAGCATTAAGGTATTGTGGCAGTCAGCACTAGTCCTGGCAGGTAAAAAATAGCCAGTGAGGTTCATTCCTGATGTCTTCTGAGCTATTGTGCTGGGTATACATGGAAAATCACCTTTATTTCATATGGCTTCTGTCCCTCAAAAAAGCTTTTAAAGCTTCTCCTGTCCATCATCTCAATGATGCTGGCTGTGCTTACTGTGTGTTATCAGCAGTTCTGCTGTGAGAGGACATGAAGCTGCTTTTGCAGCCGCCAGAATACAACCACCAGTGTTTGGTAATCAAGGGCCTTCATTCAAGATCTGCATTTAAGAGAGGTAAAGACAAAGTGAGCAAATACAAGTTGGTATGTGTTCTGTAGAGCAGAATGTTTCGTTAACATCTGGTCTGACACTGCTGGGGTAGTGGGTAGCCTGTACAGTCGCTGCAGATCACCAGGATGGCCTCAAGTTGCGCCAGGGGAGGTTTAGATTGGACATGAGGAAAAATTTCTTTACTGAAAGAGTGGTTAAACATTGGAACAGGCTGCCCAGGGAAGTGGTTGAGTCACCATCCCTGGAGGTATTTAAAAGACGGGTAGATGAGGCGCTTAGGGACATGGCTTAGTGGGCATGGTGGTGTTGGGTTGACGGTTGGACTCGATGATCTTAGAGGTCTCTTCCAACCTTAATGATTCTATGATTCTATGATTCTATGATTTTGGATCTCCATAATCTGGCAGAGAGAAAGCCCAGTGGAGGACAATAAAAAAGAACACGATTAAATGAAACTGGATGCACATATTTACTGGCAGCACTATTAAAAAAAAAAAAAATTCCCTCCCTTTTTACCTTCTGTTCACTTCCATCCCCCCTCTGTCCTCTTCCCAAAAATCTGCCAAAGCGTTGCCAGTTTTTCATGAGAAATATTTCCACCAGGAAATTAAATGTTGGCTATTATAGTTTACATGTTACAGGCTCATCTCCGCAAATTAGTTTAACCACCACAAAAAATGTGCCCTGCTCATATGGCAAAGAGAAAGGTGAGGGAGAAGATTGTCTTAGGAAAACTTTCCCTAAACCCATTGTGAAATCCATTTGAAAAGGGTGTTTACATTGCAATGTAAAACACAGAAGCAGCCATAACTGTTCAAGACGAATCTCAAGAATGGCTTTTCAAACAACACGCTGTGATCAGATCGATTCATTCAACCACATGGAAGCAGAATCTTGGGGACTAGAGGAGAGGTTTAAACTTGGGGTTTAGAAACATTTCCTGATATTTTCTTCCCTGTAGTTAGAAAGGGGAAAAAACCACAGCCATAAAGGACAACAGAAAACCACACTAGTTTCTTTTGGGGTTTTGTTTTGCTTTTATTTTTAGAAGCCTGACCTACCTCCAAATGTTTTAAGTAAAATGTTTACATGAATATTTTAGGAGCACCACTTTTTACTACTGTCAATTCCAATTCTGCTTCAAGAACTGCAGAGTCATAGGCATCTCTTACTCTAAAGGAGTAGAGCAGGATTTCAATCCTAGTCTGAGGAGCTGAGCAAACAGGCTGGGCAACTTATTTAGCATCGATTCGGTAAACAACCTAGGTGTGTACATAAAGCTTAGCACATGCATGAATGACACGTGGTAAGGCTCTACTAGAATGCTTGCTGCATTCCAGTGTTTCCAAATGTTATGTTTACATATGCATTATGTACGTTATATACGCAATGCATTCACACACACATACACACATATATATATACATACACACTGTTGTCTGTTTTGTTTCTTCTATGTAATATGGCTATTTACTTTTGCTGTCCGCACTCTTGGGAGAAGCAGCCAATCTGAGAGGAGTAGGTGTTCTTACACGCTGAATACCTGAATTTCTGTTCATGACAAGGCAGTACTGAACTTTTTTCAAATTACCTTTCCTCTGTTGACCTGTCAGCTGGATGCCTTCCTTTCAAAGCTGAGCTGTAGCAGTTTTACCATCAGTTCCTTGATACAAGTTGTTTACCACCCCATCATTGGTATTGAACTGATGAGCTTTAAAGGACTATCAGGATGTCTATAAATCAACATGAACTGAAATTCAGATATTTTGTAAGCTCTCTTGGTAAATCTTTTATGATTAGTATAAACCCAGCTCACTTCTGATAAAGCCTTGCCATCCTTTTGGTCCTAAGGAGATCACCAAGAGCCTCAGTGCTACAACCAGAAAGGGTACAGTCAGTGCTAATTGTAGTTTGAGCTGTTGGATATAATGAAGCTACAAAGTCCAAGAATGAGACCGAAAGAGGAGGGTGGAAATTACAGCAGCCTGCTACACAGCAGTCTGGGTTGACTGTTGGATCCAGTAATTGATCAAAACACAGTTTTGCAAATATCCTAGAAATTCAACAGTGAACACTTTTAGAAAATGTTTCATTCTCAACTGCTGTTGATTTGAAGATGGTGTTATCAAGGTAAACACATTTTTCAATTCCTGCCACTCTCCCAGGTGAAATCTCTCCCTAACTTTGCTCATGTGAACAGTGTTCTTACCTACTGCAGTAGCAGAAGTTGTACAACAAAAGTGTGAAGCAGTTGAAGATCCAGTTTCAGTGGGGGCTCAAGGACCTACTTGCATTAACCCAATTTTGGAATGAAGGCCTTGCAAAACTCCTGTGAAGACTGCGATCACACATTTGCTTAACTTCATGCACCTAAGTAGCCCCTTAAAGCCAAAAGAATTGCCCAGGCTTAAGATCAGCATATACACACATGATCTGCTAGTTTAGGACCATACAACGGCTAATAATCTGATTATGCACTCATACTTAATACATTCAGGAACACAGACACCTTCTGATCATCAAGTTAATTTTTCCCAGAGTAGCAACGTGTCACACGATCTCTTCCCTAACCTTACCAAGCTCAGTATAGCTTGGTGCCAAAGGAGTTCTGGCTTTTGACCCTGGTCTTGAGGAGTTCTTGAAGCAGGTCCTGAATGTGGCTCCTGATCCCTTTGATAGCTTTGAGTGATTCAGGGTTTCTCAGAAGAGGAACATTTCAAAGTACTTTTAAATCAAGCTTTGCCATTTTTCTGTTTATGCACACTCAAATGGCTGAGTCCAAAGCCATATACTACAGGCATGCACATATCCCTCATCATATTTTCAAATAACTGTCATTCGTTTTAAAATGATAACACCTAAAAGTATGCATATGGAGAATCAGGAGAATAATGCATAAGTGATAATCATTACATAATGATTTGATTCAGTGATACATTGTCGATTAACACATGTAGCAAAGTGCTTGGGTTTTCAATTCATGTAGCCCAGATAAAATATCTAAGAGCACTGCTCTTGACATTTGATCAGTGCCACATTTTGAGTTTCTGGAGAAGCCTTAAAGGTTAGTGCTATATTTCATCCTTCCAAGCTCTGCATTCGAAGGCTCAGTCCCATGAAGCATCACCTGGTGCCAAGGAAAGGCAGTCATTATTTAAATCACATTCTGACATAAGCTGTGCAGAAGTCTCACTTGGCATCTTCTTTGCAGGCAAAATCAGTACCTTCAAGAATGGTTTAAATCAGATTATGTACTTTTGCAGACAGGTGCAAGAAGAGGAGAGGAGAGGGAGTTAATAAGCCCTGGATTGCAACTTGGCCACCAGGAGGAGCAAATGGTAAGAAATCCAACTAGGGAGGGCAGAAAGGGAGGTAAAAGATCATTTTACACCCACAATAACATCGTCTGAGAAGTAGAGAAACAAAAAAAAAGGGGAGATTTAGCATCAACTGGAGAGATTTGATGGGCTGAGTGAAAATGCCTGTTGGCTGGAGGAGACAGGCACTGGTGGGAATGGGGACAACAGTTGTAGGAGTACAGTGGGTGGAGGCCTAACTGCCCTGCTTAAGCCAGTTGTTGGGCATTGGGAGACTGTGTGAAACCCTCCTCTGGCCCTTGTGTGCACTGACAGTCCAGCACCAACCTGGCTGCAGAGGGAAGGATGATGGGGTAGTTACTAGGGACAGCTCTGTGTGTGACGTGCTCCTTCTCCAGAGCCTGAGCTGGCCTGGGGAGAAAGCCTTGAGGACAGCACCAAAGTATAAACAAGCAAACGTGGTCTGCATTCTGGGAAATGCTAAGCAGAGAGGCTCGTGCTGAACACCTGCTGTAACTGTGGGGTGACTCCTGCCCCAAGCTAGGGGAGACGTAGGGGAAGTGCAATAACACAGAAATATCACTTTGGCAATACCTTTAACAGGAAGGTTGAATCCCTGGCACAAGAACTGAAGAGGATCTTGTGAAACAACAGTGGGAGAAAGCGTGTTTGAGGACCATTTTTGATGAAATACCGGGGGAGTGTTCACTAGGAGCTGAGGGCTGAGCTGCTGGGAACTGATGGGAAGCAAAGCATGTCTGCGCTTCTGGCAAGCTGCATGCTGGCTGGAAACAATAAACTGTCCTACAGGCAATTCTCGTGACTCATTGGATGACATAGTCCTTTTCCCAAAATGCTGTCCTTCATGGATTAGAAGAGAAAAAAATATACGTACAAAGACTAAAAATATCTCTGCATCCCTTGTGCCTGCCTGACAAAAGGACAGCTCCAGCAGGTGCACCTACGCAGCAGGCACGGGTCTTGCAGAGAAGACACTTACTTCTCTGTGCTTGCAGTGTTCATCCTTACACAGTAAGAGACAGCTAAAAATAGCTTGTACTACACAAGTCTCTTAAGACCAGTCAAGGAGGACTTACAAAACCATCTCAGGTGCCTTTTTACACATGCAGCTGTGTATGCCTTGTTTTTCCTTGTTTATACAAGTCAAGAACTGATTTGAAGACAATTTGTAGCTTGGTGTAAGATACAAAATAAAGCATCAGATCTCCCCCAAAGACATGATTTTTAACTCTGATTCTAAGGTGGGATCTGATGTTTACTGCAATGTGGAGAATGAGACAATAGAGATTTTTTAGTTTGTCAAGTAAAGCTTTGCCAACTTTACTGCTATCATATAGTCAATAAACCAAGCCATGTTACTCAAGCAGTTCACATCAATACCTGCTTTTTTTTTCCAAACACAGGGTAAAAAACCTTGGAAGAATAACTCTTGGATTTCATAGAATTGCATTGCAAAAATAACTTTCGCACCCTTCTAAAAGTGGTGATGAAATCCAAAACAGGAAATGTGATGAACATATATATTTACAAAGCTTTAATGGTCTGAGCTGGGAAAGGAGATACTGCTGTATTTGAATATACAGTCCTAATGAAAGAATAAAGAAGCAAGAAACCTTTAGAAGCAGCTAGCATTTCTCACTGATCCAGCCTCCCAACTTCTGTGACCTTTGAAAGACAGTTTCAAGTAGCAGTGATGACATCTGGTTTGTTGTTCTCATTCCTGAACCTTCTTGCCTGTAACAGCACAGAATAATCAGAAATGCCTTGCACTCTTCATTGCTTGCTTTTAAATTAGCATTCCAAGTCAAAATAGAGAATTTTGTTAAACACAGTCACACGGAGTGGCAGATTTTTAGTTTTTGCTCCTCATTCTAAAAATTCTTCAAAGCCTTAGTCTTCTCAAGAGAATAATTAAAAGAAAAAAATGGGTTTGAAGTGCTTGCAGAGACAGTCCTTGCAGAGGAGAAAGCTCCTATGTCTAGACTGCTTGTGCAAATCTAGCCCTGAGGTTAGTTTTTAGTCTCAGCCAATCTCAGTATCTTATCACACCAGAAATGGGTCCATCCAGGCTAAACTACTGTGCATCGAAAGGACAGGATTAAGCAGCTCACAGGGCTGTTGACAGCATTGAACTGGGCAGAATGAGAAGCTTCCATGCCTGAGCTATTGGCTGAGTGCCCTTTATCAGCTCTGGATTCACACCAGGCTGAAGGTGCTAAGAAAACGTGATAGGCATGCGTGCGGTGGTTGTATACTCATACTTACAGACTCTCACTCTCTCCATACGGACACACATACGTATATGTGTGTGTGCATATATATGCTTATATAAATACACTCTATTGCTTCATAATCACATTATTTACATGTTATGTATATATGGTCTGTAGTATATGTATTTTATATCTACAGCTCTCCTTATATGCGTATGGGTATCTGTCTATGTATACACACACATACACATAATCACAGCATTATTTTAAATTCCAGTGGTACTGGAGTTTCCAGGGACTCGTGAGAAGGACACAGTAATGCAGCCAGACTGACTGTGCAGGCTGTGCAGAGCCACACACCATCTTCTTGAGAAATGTTTGTTTACAGTCCACCAGGTAAACTGTTATGTACAAGGCTGCAAGTACCAACAGCCACTGCTGGTGATTTGGCAACCCAAGGTTGAAGCAGGTGACGATCACAAAGCCTTGCCTTAAAGCCCCTCCTGACCCATGAGAAGCTTCGAAGATTGTTAGGGTTAGTGCGTGGATTGCCTGTTTTTGGTTACCTTCTGTGATGCTGTGGTGCGCTCATGTCATAGTAACGCCTGAAGCCAGGAGGATGGCTGTGTTTAGTAGCGGGACTTCTAGGGGGTTTAGCGGTTTGATTCCTGTTGGGGGTCATTGTCCGCCTAGTTCTGGGGTGGGGGCTAGGCTGGAGTGGAAAAATGCTCAGAAGAAGCCTAAGAAAAAGAATGCCTCGGATGTGATGAATAGGATTATTCCATATCGTAGGCCCTTTTGGACTGTGGGGGTGTGGTGACCTTGGAATGTGCTTTCTCGTACAATTAGAAGATTAGAGCTTCACATCCATTCACTCTTAATGCAATCAGATGGGAGCAAGGTACAACACACATTGACAAGGGATGAAGTAAAAGGTGGGCGTTCATTGACTACTGGCAACAGGGACTGCACCGATAGCTGGTGCGATGTGCTGGAGCAACGAGCTTAGCACACGTAGCCAGATTTGTCAGCTAGCCCTAGGCATTGTCACTGGCTGCTAGATCTGGTCTCCTGTCCAGCTTTCCATCAGAGAATCGCAGTTGGCAGAGTTCCCCCCGAGTGAGTGGAGATGCCCCTCATGCCAGCGTAAGGCCCTGGAGGAGGAGGATCAGGACTGCAGGTTCCAGGCATCCCTTTTTCATGGCTTCACAGCACAGTGAGATGGATATTCACACGGGTGGCTTCATGCAAACTTACGGTCATGATTCATTCTGCAACTCCACTACATAGACTTGGAGATTAGAATAGGGTTCACAAAGGTACATAAGGAATGGGATTCTATAGTTTACATCTGATATGTCTTAAATATGCCATAAAAGTCTGTTCTGTAGCTCAGGTACATACTGAGAGCCGCAGAGCCAGCAGCTGGGACACAGCAGGTACTACAAGCACTGGATCTCCCCAAAGGGAAGGAGGAGTGTATCGGCTGCCCTGCAGTCACTAGCACAAATTTTGTTCCTCCATGGCATTTGCCAAGATGCTGAACATTGTAGAGCATGGCATGAAAAGATACTGAACTCAAACTTTGATTTTCAGATTTGCATAGAGCTGAGCTGTGTGATTACCTCTAACCATCAGGCCAGGAAGAACAACTGAGATAATTTGTCTGAGTCCTTACCTAATTCCCCGAAATTAGTCCTTGATTCAGTTCCAGTAACTACAGTTGAATTTGAGGGTAACCTTCAGAGAAACATTGACTGAAACCTTCTCCAGGGATGGCAAATGTATGACAATCATCACCCTCATTAGTGAAAATAACTATATCGTATTTCTCATTTAAACTTATCTATCAACTCTAAATGCAGAAGGCTATTGTATCTTTATCTGTAACATCAGAACCCTTTGGCAGGTTCTTACAGGCCTTTTAGAGAAGATAAGTAGACCTTGTGTCTCCTGTAAGAGGTTCTTCAGGCCTTCAGACAGTATTGGTCTGTGCTGAACTTTCTCTGATTTTTTTACATCCTTCTTGGAGTATGAACTCCAGGACTGGACACCATATTCCAGCTGCACCCATGCCAAATGCAGAAGGCAACAAACCTTACTGAGTTCCTGCTCAGTGACAAGCTGGGGACTATGTTCAAGAACAGCATTGATCCCGAAGGTCCCAACATCGTATTGCCATCTCATTATAACTGATTATCTATCAGTGAGCTCTAATCTCTTCCAGAATTACTGCTCTGCAAGACAGAACACCTTATTAGGCAAACATGACCTGCATTTTTTTGTTCCTAGATATATTAGATTGTATTTTACCGAACTGAAATACACATTATTTGCTTGTGCCAGTATTTTTACCAATTCGCCCAATATTGTCAATAATGATTGTTTTCTTCTGGATCTCTCCTGAAAAAGACAAAGATCCAGTGTCAATTCTGTATTATCTTTTATCTCAGTCAGCGATTAAGCAAGCTTCCTTACACAAGTCTAAGCGTATTGCTACAATAACATCATGTTTATCAGCCAAACTTCTCAAACTAATTTAACATCACTTTTAAAATGAGAATGTAATATCTTTCATAAATGTAGGTTATGCAACACTAATCCTATTACCTTCCTTTAATTATTTATTAGTGGATCGCTGTACCAGTTCTTCCAATATTATTGGAGACTGGCAGGTCAGTAATTAAGGGGACCTGAACCACCAATGATAATGCTCCCTCCTGTCCCCATAGCAGAGAGCACAGGGGCTGAGTAAAGCTCCACATCTGCCCCGCTCTGGGTCTGCGCATCTCCCTGGCAGAGGACGAGATCCCTGCGCAGGCTCTGTCTGCCTCCCACACTGCACTGGGTTGCACAGCACATCCAAGGGCATGCAGAGGAGTGGTGGCGTGAGCTGAGGCTGCTACAACGTCTGCATCCCGCCAGCAAGCAGGAGCAGCACACGTGCGGCAGCAGCCTGCGGCAGCACTGCACACGGGCACAGAGGCAGCTGGAGGGAAGCAAGGACATAGCTCGCTGCATGGACAAGGCTGATGAAAGTTAATCCCCACCCATTTTGCTGTCTCCCTCTCTCTCTCTGGACATATGTACATAAACAAAAATAAGCAAAACATATATATTCATATACATAAAAAACCACACCCACATACTTCACACACACACACACCCCCATATACCTCCTTTCTAAGAATAGTCTGGTAATCATGTTCACAGTTTGCTGGAGCTTCCACAATCAAATCATGCAGGAAAGGGATGGTGTGAAGCTGTAGTCAGAAAGCAATTTACTTTTTCAACTACTCTTTGATAAACTGAGTGATGTTTGCTCAGGGGTAAGGTAATACCTATTTGCCAAAGAACCAGTTGCAGAAGTGTTGTGAGACAGTGGAGTCAGAGGGATGCCTCTCTTCATAGTGTTGTCATGCCAAGGTGAATGTTTCCTACCCCACTGCCTTTAGTCTGTTTTTAAGAAGTTTCTGGTGCTTGAATAATACTTCTGTGATCTGTAGTAGTGTGTGAAGGCACCTTGTGGTTCCCTTCTTTTGCAGGGTCCATGCATTTAACTGGAGAGGTGGTGAGGGCGGATTCCAGGTGGAGGGGATGGATGCTGTATGCAGACATCCCTTAGGACGGAGTGTCCCAGGGGTTGCCTGAAGTAGAAATATACAGTCATGGTCCAGAGAAAAAGCAATCAAATTCTGTATAAGCTGCCAAAAAAAAGCATCAGCCTGGGTTGTTCCAGAGAGCAGGCTGGCGTGGGAGCCCACACAGGCAGTGCTGCTGTGAAAGCCTTAGGAAAAGTCACTCCTGGAAACAAAACACCCACTCTGGTGATTTGCCTGGAGGGTGACATCTCTTTGAAATACCACTCATCTCCAGAAGAAACAGCCTTCCCTGGGGCCTGGCCAGGAGGACGAGGTGGCAGCTAAACCCTTGGTCTGCGTAAGGGCTGTGCGGGGCTGCACAGAGTCCGCACAGCACAGACCAGTGAGGAAATGCTGGGGCAGGGCACCACAGTCCTTGCCTAAACAGCCCGATCAGGGCGCCAGCGATGGCAGACCACAGCCCCAGCAAGCTCACGCCAGAAGTCGAGCCAAGGGATGTCATGCAGAGCCCAGTTCCTGTCCACAGTGCCCAGCCATGCTCTTGGTATGG